ACTGTACGAACTACCATATATAACACCATATCAACTACATGATATTATCCTGCACTAACCACTATGTACCACTACATACACCTCCGTACTACTATATGATCCTATATTATATTAACCATTATATGCACCACTGTGTATATAACACCATACTAACTATACTATACTGTAGTAAGCACTATGCATAACACTATACAAACTACACAATACTGTACTGTACTAACCACTATATGTACCAATATATATATATGTCACTGCACAAACCACACAATACTATACTGTATTAACTACTATATGTACTACTATATATACCACTGTACCAACTACACGATGCTATACTGTACTAGCCATTCTACATACCACTATATGTGCCACTATACTAACCACACAATACACTAACCACTCTGGGTCTGTCCTGATTCTGTGAACTTAGTAGAAGCCTGAAATCATGACATTTGGGGCTGCACCCACATTTGAGGCCCCAAGATGGTCTGTCAGGAAGTTTCCACTGGACCCTGGATGTACTAATTGTGTCCCAAACCTCCAGCCGCCGACCCTAGGTCTATGCTAACCTGCCCACCCTTCCAGCCCTGCCCAGCCCAGAGGCAGGAGTGCCCACAGAGCAGAGGGCAGGTTGAGGGACTCAGCAGTTTCCATGACCTTGGAGGCACACCTGCAGGTCCGCACCCCACCCCCTGCTGACTCACCTACCCCAGCAGCCCCTCCTCACCCAGCAGGTTATCACCAGCAGGAAAAGCCAGAGAACAAGAACAACCGGTTTGATTCCTTTTAAACCAAGTCCTTCTAAGCTAAGGCTGGGATCCTCCTTTCACCCCAAGCCCTAGCCTAGACAAATGTAACCAGACCCCAGGAATTGCCTAGGCAGGCCTGCGGGGGACCACTGGGTGCCGGTACCTGGTTTCCCAGTGGCCTGGGGTCCTGGGGCGGTGGCCCACCTGCAGCCCTTTCTTCCGGAGTGACTGTCCAGCCCGGGAGACCCCTTTTAGAGCAGTCAGTGGGGACCCTTCTGAGGCCTTGCCCTGCCCTCGGGCACTTGCCCACCTGGGACTCTTCACTGGGGATTCTTTGGGAGGTGTTGACAGCACTCTCCGGTCAGCATCCAAGCCTATGGAGGCCGCAGCCCAGCCGAGGAAGGAGCTTGAGGTCCAGGGCCCAGCGCCCCCAGCTTCCAGGAGCATCTTTGGTTCTGCAGGGACCCCCAGGGCAGCCCGGCCACCTGTACCTGGGGTTAGTGGTGAACCCCAGGTGCCTCTGGACTCTTCATGACCCAGGGTCCCAGTCTGAACCTCAGTGATACATGGACGGGGTGCCCACTTCGGCCCCTGCTATGACTGGAACCACCCTGGCCACCAGCACCACCAAGGCCTGGGGCCACCCACGAGGGCCTTGGAGGTGTGGGGCACACAACCAGGCAGCAGACTGCATAGGCACCACTCACAAGGGCCAATGGCTGGGCTGCAGCTTGGAGGTCCCGTCTGGGAACAATCACCAATCTATCGGGCCTGGTGGCCATGCTGCGGCTGCGGAACGGCATGCATAGCCGCTTCTCCTCCCCGGAGGGAGGACGGGTGTCTTACGCTGGGAAGTGTGGGAAACAAACAGGACACAGGAGGCTGTGGTGCGGGGAGTGGTGGGGGCAAAGAGCACAGGGCGGGGGAGCCTTGGACATACTTTTGTGATGGGAAGACTCGGAGGTGGCAGCAGGGCCTGAGGGGTGGGGGGTGGGGGTATAGGCAGGCTCCAAAGTGAAGGTGGTAGGGCTCGGGGGTGGCTGCTGACTGACAGATGCATGGGTCCTCGGACAGGGCCCGGGTGGGGGTGGGGCAGGGGGCAGCGGGCCAGTCGGTGTAAGGGTATCTGAGCACCAAGGCCACCACCTGCCTGGTACCGGTGCCATGTGCGGGCCCGGGGCATTGATGGGGGTGGAATATGAGACCACTTTGGCCAGAGAGAATACCCCTGTCTGCCCTTGTGCTTCCAGGGACAGGGTGCTCTTCACTTATGGCCCTGTCACTCATGGGCCCCTGACTCCCAGTGCCAGAGATCCAACACACCACGGGGCTACAAGGGCCCCCCTCAGGTAGCCCCAAACCCACACCTCTGCTCTCACTGCCCAAGGCCCACCTGGCCCTCCAGCTTGTCCAGTCAGGGCCTCCCCACTCTGCTCTCCTGGCCGGACGCCAAACCCAGAGCCTCGGGAGCCAGGCCACCTGCTACAGGCCTAGAGGAAAGATGAGCACAGGCTGGGGATAGGATTCCATGTCTATCCCTCAGAACCAAGAACACCCCCCACCCCACCTCTTAGCCCCAGCCACTGCCCCCACACACCTCCTCCTCCCAGCCTCCTTCCCGACCTCCCCTGTGTCCTAGAGTGCCCCGACCTCCCATAATACCCCAACCCACAGTGCCCGACCTCCCACAATACCCTAACATCCCCTACATCCCACAATACCCCGACCTGTCACAACCTCCTCCCTGACCTACCCCACATGCTATAACACTCCGACCTTCCACAATACCCCCAATATCCCCCTAGGTCCCACAATACCCCAACCTGTGTCCCAACCTCCTCCATGTCCTGCAACACCCCGACCTGCTGTGCCCCAATCTCCTCCCTAACCTCCCACAACGCCCCAACCTGTTGCACCCTAAACTCCTTCCCAACTTCCCCAAGTCCTACAACGCCCTGGCCTGCTGTGCCACTGTCTCCCACAACACCCCGACCTGCTGCACCCTAACCTCCATCCTCACCCCACCCTCACGCCCTGACCTGCTGCGCTCAGCATCTCCCACGTCCTGGGTGGGCACTTCCTACCCAGGTTAATTGCTAGTGTTGGGAACTGCCAGGTTTAAAGTGTAGGTGAGGGTGCGGCTTGAGGTGCTCACCGACAGCTGTGCCTGTGCCATGATGTGGATCATCGGCCACTGCCAATGGGCTGGAGACAGGCCAGGCAGAAGGGCCCAGATCACCCCTGCCTGCTGTATCCCCTGTCTCTTCAGCTCCGCCCTCACTGAAGCCTTGGGTTAACCAGGCTCAAACCCAGACCCCAGAGACACCCTCAGATGGAGGTGACCAGCTCTCAGGCAGTGCTGGCCGGGGCCGAGGAGAGGCTGGCTGCCAGATGGCCGTGCTGACATTCCACGATTACGCGCCCATTCCTTCGGCATTAACGGCTTAAGGCCCAGTCCCTGTTGAAAGGCAAGTGCCTGAGAGGGCATATCAGCCCCCAGGGCCCCCAGTCCAACTCCGCGGAGGCAGGTTCTGGGACGCTTGGGTTTGCTCCACCAGGGCTGGGATACGAGGGGAGGGCGCCCGGACCACTTAAACAGCTAGCCCTCGACCCTGGGCCTTCCTAGGTCCACGAGGGGTGGAGCGCTCAGGCCTTGGGCTCCTGTCACCCGAGTCTCAGGGCAGACACCTCAGAGCAGGGACCCGTTTTGTCCAGTGAGCAGCCATAGCAGGGACATCCTGCCACACCGCAAGACCTTACAAACTGGAATCGTAAAAATCACATGTCCCAAGTGCAGTGACACTCCAGCCACAGGGACAGGGGGCTAGTGCTGAGTGTCACACAGGTTGATCAGAGGAGGGAGCTCCTAGCCAGTGTCGGGGTGGGGGTGGGGGGCGTAGGACCGGGGCCCGGAAGCCGCACTGGGGCCCAGGGGTTTCCAGGCTGGGTGGGTCTTGCTCTTTTGCTGAGTTGGACAGTGAGCCCTGTTCTGTCTCAGGGCCTCCTCCAGGGCCGGGCCCAGCTCCCTGCCTGCCCCCGTAATTGAAGATGAAGGCCGCTCTGTTCATTTCATTTAGCATCTGACCCACCACACACTCTGCGTGCACAGCAGCCCTCAGTGCTCCAGCTCCTGAACCCAGCAATTTCACTTGGCTCCTAACAGACGCACTTCATCTGGGAGAGACAGGAGGTTCAGAAACTTGAGCTGAGCCAGGAAGTCACAGCAGTAAAACATGGGCGCCCGTGCGGGAGGGAGGCGGTGCCCCAAGCCCTACTATGTCTACGCCTGGCTGATGAAACACGGAGATTACCACACCCTGAAAAGGAGTCCTGGTGGTGGAGCCGGTTACCTGTTAGGCTGTTGCCCACAAGGTCAGTAGTTCAAACTCACCACCTGCTCCTTGGGAGAAAGATGAGGCTTTCTGCTCCGGTAAAGCTATAGAGCCTCAGAAACCCACAGGGGCAGTTCTTCCCTGGTCTACAGGGTCGCTCGCTGTGAGTCAGAATCAACTTGATGGCAGAGAGTTTTAGGGGTCTTTCCCACCCCAGCCTGGGCAGCCTCAGCACCGGGTTCAGGGCCAGATCACTCTTTCCGCGAGCCCACGGTTCCACGGGGTGTTGAGCACCAACCCAAGCTCCAGCCCTCGGTGCAGCAGGGCCCTCCCTGAAGTCAGACAACCAAAAAAGTCTCAGATCCTGCCCCCGGTCCCGGGACACTGCCACATGGGTGACAGATGACTTGGGCAGGCAGACTGCAGCTTCGAGGGCCAAGGGTGGCAGACAGACCAGGCTGAGCCAGGAATGCGAGAGACTGGCTCCTAGGATGCCCAAAGAGAAGGGACTGTGACTCAGACTTAGAACGAGGAGAGAGGAAATTAGCCATCAACCATTTTCAGACCAGCCCTGGAGCCCCGTGCTGGTCCTGGCAATGAAGGACAAAGGCTGATCCCAAAGGGGCAGGCAGGGCCTGGTGACCGGAGCTCCAGGCAGGCAGTCCATGCTGCTGCCAGGGAGCTGGGCTGAGGACCCCGGTGGGGAGGAGGAGCAGCAGCATCAATGGCAGACTGCAAGCTGAACAGGCAGGGCTCCCACAGACCCCCATGCATGCTCGTCCACACTTCCAGCAGCCCAATTTCCAATTCTCAGAGCCCGAACCAGGCAGGGGCAAAGCTGTGAACCCCTGATATGGCGCTGCAAACATGCAGCAGGGCAGGGGGCAGGGGCAGGGGTGCTATGGGGTCACCTTGAGGCTCCATGAGGTCAGAACTCCTCCCCCAGCACATCTGCAACGAGGAGCACTTCTTATACAGACCCTTGGACCCTCAGTCACGCAGAGTCTGAGACCACTTGAACTCACCTGGGAAGTGGATATTCTGCCTGGTCCCCAGCTGCGCACCTGGACCAACAGGCTCCTCCTCCCATTGTCCCCACCCACCCACCCACTGCCATGGGGGCCCCTCCTCAATACCCTCCAGCACTCTCCGAGCAGCCACTCTGACTCATGCCCTTTCTCCAACACAGGCAGGGCCTCCCAGCTCTGTCCCCCTGCAACCACGGGGCCAACCCCACCCCCAGGGACATGCGCAGCCCCTCCATCCTAAAGTCACAAGTGTCTTGGGTACAAAGTGCCCATGACCTGACCTCACTGATGTGCACTCCCTGGGGAGGGCGAGGCTGGCTTGACACCTAGCTTGCCCACCAACCTGCAGACCCTGAGTCAGCAGCAGTGCTCACCTCAGGGTCTGAGGGTGTCGCCTCCCTGCACAGCAAGCAGTAACAGAGCCACAAGCCGGGGTGCACAGTGGCCCTGGCCCTCAGCCTGTATTCACATCTGGAGCCTCCATGCCCCTCAGCTTCCTGGCTACCGAGCAGGCCCACCAGGCCCAACCAGGAAGGTTCTTTCCGGAGCTGTGCTGGGGGAGGAGGAGCCTCGTGTCCCACCAGGAAAGGGGCCCATGACACCCAGACTCACTAGGGGGCTAGTTCACTCGTCCCCCAAGCAATACCTGCTGAATCCCAGCATGGGCCCCTGACACAGGCCCGATGACAAACACCTCACGCGCCTCTGACATCCCAGAGTGCCCTGATGCCCAGGCGCAGCCCCACCCCCCACACACACCCTGAGTGCCCCTCTGATGATCCTGCGTGTCCCCAACATCCCTGTGTGCTCTCTCCCCATGCCCTGGTACCTGCCATTCGTGCCCCAGCGTGGCCCTCACGCCTGCTCCACTCACCGGAGAGCGGGAACAGGTCTGAGCTGGAGCGCCGGTGCAGCAGCTCGTACTGGAAGCCGGTGGTCCGGCGGCTGATGTCCTGCTGGGGCGTGGCCTCCACAAAGAGGGCTCCCTGGTCAAGGCCGAAGCAGCACACCCTGTGGGGGCCCTGCTCGCTGTCCTGCACCAGCAGCCGCAGGGCACCCGTCTTCTCCAGGTAGATGTTGGCCCCTGAGGCACCGGCAGCTGGCTTGATGCACACAGTCAGGTGCTTGGAGGGGGTAAAGGTGTTGGGGCGGAGGTTGACGATGAGTGCCCCTGTTGGGTACATCCATTCCACGGCGCCCTCCGAGCAGCGCAGGTAAACCTGCTCCACCTCCTTCCGGTGCGCCTCATGCGTCAGCCCACTGCCAGAGGAGAGAGCCAGAGTCAGTCAGCCAGCCAGTGCCACTGCCCTCACCCTGCCCAGGCCACAGTGTGCAGCTCTAGGGGCTTGCCCATACAGTCGCCTCTGCATGACCCCTACGGCCACCCTCCGACATCGAATAGCTGTGTCTTTGGGGCCCCGGGAGAGACACTGAGCCCTCTGGATGCCCCGCATCTTGACCATCGGAGGTGGCAGGTATGTGGAAGTGAGAACCAGTAGATACCTCAGAAGGAAAAGCCAGGAGACCCCACACAGCCCCAGACTCGGGAGTGTGCGCACCAGTCCTAAGCAGTAACCACTGCCAGTCCTCTGGCAGCCTCTCAATGCGTAGACACAGGCGCCTGCATCTCCCTCCAGGCCACCATTCGAGCACAGAGCGTGCACTCCCAGACCAGAGGCCCCGGCATCGTGGCTGGCAGTATTTTAAAGCAACAAACTTGATACAAGGTGCCTTTAGAAAAGTGGGCCGTGACTTCTACAGGAGGAAGCCCCCCCAAGCCCTCCCCCCTCAACCTCCCCAGGTACGTGAGAGCATGTGGCAAAGGAGGACTGGGAAGCCTGTGGAAGCAGCTGGCCTGGCTGACCGTGGGTTCTGCCCCAAGCAACGCAGGAGGGCTGCGGTGGGCAGACTGGTGAGCTGAGCCCTCGGCAAAGACCACTTCGCTTGGGAGAAAATGAAAGTAGTCGAACCGTTTAAGTTTCTCCCCAGAATGGGGCTGTAAAAGTCACCTGTGGCTAATGGTTACATCATGGCCGCCAAGTGTCCTTGGGCCCTGACCAGTGACCAGTTCAACCCAGACTCAGCGTCTGATTTCACGAATTTGCTTCTGATCAGACGACAGACAGGTTTCCCCGCATTCCTCAGATTTTTCGGTGGACTCAACAAGGCCGCGTTCAGAGTGCTGCCTGCAGAGTGCGTTACCAGAAACCCCTCTGCAGCGGCCAGCACACACATGGTTCACATTGACTGCGGTTCACTCCTGCGTGCTCTGGCCTCCGTGATGGCCCCACCGCCTGCTGCAAGCAGGGGCTGCAGTCTTGCTGCAAACCACATCAGAGGAAGGTGTGGAGGGGCAAGGCCCCCTGGCCTTGCTCCCTGCCTGTCCCCTCACCCCACCCCAGTGTCCTGGATGGTGCTGGGCCAGCCCTGGTTCAGACAGCTACCAGGGCTGCACACACAGGGCAGACTTCCAAATTACAGTCAAAGAAACTCACACAAGCTCATCTGACACACGTGTGGATGGACATGATTACTGTGCTGTGTGGAAATTAGACTAAATGGTGAGTGGTTGCCACCTGCAACTATAATCAGTCCTGCTCTTACGCAGCCACAGCACACTTTCCTTGTGTCCCTCCTTCTGTCTCTAGCACCAAGGGGCAGATGGACACTTGCCCTGATCCTGGACACCAACCCTCAACTAACTCTCTCTTTCACACACACACACACACACACACACACACACACACACACACACACACACACACACACACACACACACACACCAGGGCCACAGTCAGTAAAGAGATTGCACCCGAAGCTCTGGACCACTCTGAGGGCTTCCCTTTCATCCTGGGCTCACAGTGGGGCACAGGGAAGCCCACCCTCCACCCACACCTCGTGGGGATAGGTTGAGTCAGGGGCCACTCGCTGGCCCCTCAGGCTCTGTTTCACCATCAGGCACCGTTTTGGCTGCCTAGAGAGCAGACTGGTGTGAAGGTGAAACCCCCAGACACCAGCGCACTGCCACGGGGTCACTTCTGACTCACAGGGATGAAGGGAGACCAAATGCAAGAAGAGCCCCCGTCTTCTGCCCTGTGGCTAGTGAACCCACAGGGAGGGGCCATCCTGGGGCCTACTACTGACCGATAGCCTGACTTAGCCTCTTCTTTCATATCAAAACAAGAAACCAGCCAGGCCCTCCACACGGGGATCCTCGCACGGACACCCCCCAACAAACCTCCACCTGCAGGGCCCTGGATGGGGTCAGAGCTCAGGGTGTGTGCCAATTCTTACTAGTACACTGAGCGCCCCCAACCTTTTACCACTGCAGCAGTCCTGAGAAAACATCCATTGACGCAAGACTGCTATGACACAGAGGCAGAGCCCGGCCTCAGCAGTTCAGGTCAGCCCTGCTGCTGGGGGCTTGCTGCGCAGAATGCAGGGGACCTGGCCACACGCTCTACCTGAGCCCCTGGCAGGCCTACCCAGGTGGTGGGCCATGTGCCCCGGGAGGTGGACGAAGAATGACTTGCTCTCGGATTCATCCCACTGAATGAATGTGTTTTCCAAGATCACTGCCCAGGTGGTTACAGCTTGAGGGAAAAGAGGAGCTGTTGGAGGCCAGCAGGTACTCTCACTGGGGCAAACAGGTCTCACTCGCAAGGGGTCCTAGGGGCCAGCAGAAGACACCTCCCTCGCTGGTGTCACTGTCTCCTCACTGACGTGAGAGCAAGAGCGTGGGAGCCAGGTGAGACTAAAAGGCTGTGCTGATAGGGGCTGCCTTTCTGCACTTTGTAGGTTGGTGGCCCAGGTGTGCCTGTGTCTGCCACGCAGCCCGCCGACAGTGTGAGAAGTTCAGGGTCCACCTTTATAGCTACTGACTAATAAAGGGCAGAACACCAGAGCCACCCGTTTAATTGCCTAGACACACACTTTGGGCTTGCCAGTGTGAGTGGGCAGTCATAAACAGCAACTCCTCCTGTCAGGGGGTCAGGATCCACCCTGCACCATCGTCAGGACAGCTCGTAAAAAGTCGTAAATCACCATGAGTGGGTCAGCTGATCTAGACGTTGGACGCATGTGGCTGAGCTCACAGAAGCCCCCTAGATGCTGCCTGTAGCCCTCTCACCAGGACTGGGCTCCCAAGGATCCATCCATCCAGGCTCACAGGAGACCCCTCCAACTCTCTGCAAGCACTCGCTGCAGGAGTCCGCCCCTCACTACCCTCACTCACAGCACCCATCCCCCCAACCCTGCAGAGGGTGCAGCTACTCATCATGGAACCTGCAGGGAGGGCCTGGCCTAGGTTCCGCAGGCCACTTCCCCAGGAGGCTGTGAGTAGGGTGTTTAAGGACCAGCTCAGGGAAGAAGGCAGCCCCAGATGTGTCAGCTCAGAGGCCGGGGTCGAGCTCATGCCGGCGCCAGCATTCTGGGGACCAACCCTCCCCCACATGCTCGTCTGTCTACTACTGCAGTCCAGCCCCAGCCTTCGCTCCCTCGCTTGTCCTGGTGCAGGGGAACGGGCAGAGCACTCCCTGGGCCGCCCCTCAGCCTCACCCCAGGAGCCCGTCCCACCCAAAAGTTTCTAGCCCAAACCCCATGCAGAGCCTTGTTCCAGAAGGGGAAGGAGGCTGGACCTGGATCTGGGGCTTCCAAGGAGCCGGGCTGTGAGGGTCCAAGGTGACCACCTTGTTCTTCCGGGCCAGGCACCGCTAACTCCATCCCCCTAGCCTGACTGGAAAACCTGCTTCACCCAAACTTGTGACACTCATAGGACATGCACACACCCAGTGTGGCTGCCCACTCAGACTTTGCCAGCTCAGACTCAGGGGGGCAGAAGAGAGGGGAGGCCTGCTCCATGGGTTATAGCACCTACACATGGGGACAGCCCCAGCGCTGTCCCGGGGCCACAGCACACTTGGCCAGCTACTCCCAGAGAAGTGTGGGCTCTGGCCCTCAGAGCGGAGCAAACCAGGCTGCCCGCGACGCCGCGGCCGCCCAGTCCCGCGCACTGGGGCCTGGCGCTCCTCTCTGCGAGTCACTTCAATTAGAAGAAAGTCCTCGGCCGCAGCCACTGAGAGGGACCGCAGGGAGGGTCGGCGGGCTCAGCGCGCGGGCGTGCAAGGGCGGCCTGACCTTCAGCCGGCCAGGGGCAGGGGCTCGGCGGGGCCGGCGCTCGGCCTCCGAACACAGGTGCCGGCGGGGCGATGGACAGCGCTGCGGGCAGTGCGGGCCCCCTCGGTCCCCATAGCTGCCACTTCCCGCCCGCCCCCAGGCTAGCTTTGCTCCTCCGGGCCCAGGGCGGCCTCGGGGCGCGCGACTCCCTGCCACTGGCAGTGCCA